TGAGTGAGTGAGTGTGTGTGAGTGTGTGTGTGAGAGTGTGTGAGTGAGTGTGTGTGTGTGTGTGTGTGTGGGAGTGCGTGAGACAGCATTACACTGCTGGACACACTTATTTTAGTATTATTTACGCACTATTATAGTCTTCATTAATTATTTAAACAAATTTTTATTTTTATACCTTTAGTTTTTATTTTAATTTTAGTTACTTTTGTCATTTTTATTATTTTTTATTGTTTTTAATTTTAAATATTACTATTTAGCTTTAATTTATTTTAGATTTAAATTTTAATTACCTTTAGAATAATATAAATATAATTTAAATATTGAAAATATTTAAATGTTGCTTTGGCAGCTAACTGAAATGTGTTTTTCATCTAATATTTATATTTTATTTTATTTCAGCTTTATAAAAAAAAAAAAAAAAAATGATTTACTAGGTTTAATTTTAGTTGCCAAAAATAACCCTGGAGCTAGACTAATCATAGCTACACTAATTACAGTAGAAAAATTATTAAGTCTTGAAACTTTTATGTTAAAATGTGCTTTTTAACATAAATAAAACATTTTGCCATATTTCACCACAAAATCAGAAGCTAGAAATAAGAAATAATATTTTGCATAAACAAAACCTATTTTAGAACCTATTTTAGAAATGTTGCTTTGGAAACCAATCAAAAATAAATTGTTTAAATTTATTTTAAAATGAATTGAATTTTATTGTATATTTTTTTCTATAATTTATTTTATTTTAGAATTTGCCTTTGGCAACTGAATGAAAGAGGTTTAGGTTTTTCATCTAATATTTATATTTGATCATATTTCAGCATTATTTCATTTAACAAAAATGTTTTTATAGCTAATAACATGTTTTTCATTAAAATATGCATTTATTTTTATTTTAGCAATGATCTAAAGAACACTTTTAAATGTTTCACTGATGTAACTTTTAATTGAATAATTTAGTGAAATGTTTTGAAACATTTTTGCTCTTGCTTGTTCCACTGCTGTCTGACTGCAAAACAGCTACAAATATAAGCTTTATTAATAATGCATCGTGAACAACCGCTCAAAACAACCAGCAAAAATAATCCGCCAATCCAGTCAGAGAACGTTCATTTCTCAGCCGTCTGATTTATAGAAATATGACTGCCATCTTCACTACATACATTGTAAAAAATGTTTTAGATTATCAGAGTGTTTTACAAAAAAAAATACTATTTCATTCTTCCTTATTCAATGTGTTACTTGCTATTTCTTTGTAATTATTTGTGAGATTTACTAGCAATTTCTGAATAAAAATAGTTTCAAATGAAATCCTGCATTAAATTTTGAGTCTAGTAAACACAGTGTACCAAAGGTGCTCGCATGGCATACTATTTCTAATGGATTTTTGAATACATGTTAACTATTTGGGCACTTGTTTATGCATGCATCAGACTAAAGGATTGTGGGATACCTGGAATATGTGGGTCCTCCAGGCCGATGGGCACCTTCCACTGGTCCACCTGTAGTTTCAGAGCGTTTACTTCATCAATGTCTCCAGGAACCCTGAGACACGCAAACACACCACAGACACAGGCTTTAATAAACATAGCTTTCTGCAGTATAGACAGAGATATCTACATTTATATTGATTAATATGTTGTTTTATCTTAAAACAATTCATTCCATATATACTGTATTTATTGTGCCAATGAGTTTTCATCTGAATATATATTTGCATTTCATTGTCTTATTGTTATATATTATATGTAATATAACAATAAGAGTGAAATGCAAAAACAATAAATAAAAGCAATGTGACAACAAAACAAAAAATAGAAATAACAAATGAGAATAAAATACAAAAATATAGAAATTAAAACAAAGACGATCAAATGCAAAAATAGAAATAAAAATAGTAACAAAATAAAATGCAAAAATAGAACTTAAAGGGGTCATATGATGCGATTTCAAGTTTCCTTTCTCTTTGGAGTGTTACAAGCTGATTGTGCATAGATAAGATCCCTGAAGTTGCAAAGACTAAAGTCTCAAAACCAAAGAGATATTCTTTATCAAAGTTAAGACTCTGCCACGCCCCCCTAAAACAGCTCGTTCTAACACGCCCCCACATATCTCCCTCACTATGTGGAAATATTTGCATAATGCCGCCCAAATGTTCACGCATTAAAAAAGCATCATATGACCCCTTTAAAACAATAAGACAATACAATGCAAAAAATAGAAATAAAAATAGTAAGAAAATAAAATGCAAAAATAGAAATTAAAACAATAAGATAATAAAATGCAAACATAAACAAAAAAAGTAAGACAATCAAATAAAAAAATAAAACAATAAAATGCAAGAATATAGAAATAAAAAATAAGAAAATAAAATGCAAGAATATAGAAATAAAAACAGTAAGACAATAAATGCAAAAATAGAAATAAAAATAACAAGAAAATAAAATGCAAAAATAGAAATTAAAACAATAAGGCAATAAATACAAAAATATAAATAAAAATAGTAAGAAAATAAAATGCAAAAATAGAAATTAAAACAATAAGACAACAAAATGCAAAAAATCTAAATAAAAATAATAAGAAAATAAAATGCAAAAATAGAAATTAAAACAATAAGACAACAAAATGCAAAAATAAACAAAAGCAAAAATAGAAATAAAAATAACAAGAAAATAAAATGCAAAAATAGAAATGAAAACAATAAGACAATAAAATGCAAAAATAGAAATAAAAATAGTAAGAAAATAAAATGCAAAAATAGAAATTAAAACAATAAGACAACAAAATGCAAAAAAATTTAAAGAAAATAATAAGAAAATAAAATGCAAAAATAGAAATTAAAACAATAAGACAATAAAATGCAAAAATAGAAATTAAAACAATAAGACAATAAAATGCAAAAATAGAAATTAAAACAATAAGACAATAAAATGCAAAAATAGAAATTAAAACAATAAGACAATAAAATGCAAAAATAGAAATTAAAACAATAAGACAATAAAATGCAAAAATAGAAATTAAAACAATAAGACAATAAAATGCAAAAATAGAAATTAAAACAATAAGACAATAAAATGCAAAAATAGAAATTAAAACAATAAGACAATAAAATGCAAAAATAGAAATTAAAACAATAAGACAATAAAATGCAAAAATAGAAATTAAAACAATAAGACAATAAAATGCAAAAATAGAAATTAAAACAATAAGACAATAAAATGCAAAAATATAAATAAAAATAACAAGAAAATAAAATGCAAAAATAAAAATTAACACAATATGACAATAAAATGCAAAAATAGAAATAAAAATAGTAAGAAAATAAAATGCAAAAATATAAATTAAAACAATAAGACAACAAAATGCAAAAAATTTAAATGAAATAATAAGAAAATAAAATGCAAAAATATAAATTAAAACAATAAAATGCAAAAATAGAAATAAAAATAACAAGAAAATAAAATGCAAAAATAGAAATGAAAACAATAAGACAATAAAATGCCAAATAGAAATAAAAATAGTAAGAAAATAAAATGTACAAATAGAAATTAAATCAATAAGACAACAAAATGCAAAAAATTTGAAATAAAAATAATAAGAAAATAAAATGCAAAAATAGAAATTAAAACAATAAGACAATAAAATGCAAAAATAAACAAAAACAGTAAGACAATAAAATAAAACAATAAAAAAATAAAACAATAAAATGCAAGAATATAGAAATAAAAAACAAGAAAATAAAATGCAAGAATATAGAAATAAAAACAGTAAGACAATAAAATTCAAAAATAGAAATAAAAATAAAATAAAATGCAAAAATAGAAATTAAAACAACAAGACAATAAATGCAAAAATAGAAATAAAAATAGTAAGAAAATAAAATGCAAAAATAGAAATTAAAACAATAAGTCAACAAAATGCAAAAAATCTAAATAAAAATAATAAGAAAATAAAATGCAAAAATAAACAAAAACAGTAAGACAATAAAATAAAAAATAAATAAATAAAACAAAATGCAAGAATATAGAAATAAAAACAGTAAGACAATAAATGCAAAAATAGAAATAAAAATAACAAGAAAATAAAATGCAAAAATAGAAATTAAAACAATAAGACAACAAAATGCAAAAATAAACAAAAACAGTAAGACAATAAAATAAAAAAAGAAATAAATAAAACAATAAAATGCAAGAATATAGAAATAAAAAACAAGAAAATAAAATGCAAGAATATAGAAATAAAAAACAAGAAAATAAAATGCAAGAATATAGAAATAAAAAACAAGAAAATAAAATGCAAGAATATAGAAATAAAAAACAAGAAAATAAAATGCAAGAATATAGAAATAAAAAACAAGAAAATAAAATGCAAGAATATAGAAATAAAAACAGTAAGACAATAAATGCAAAAATAGAAATAAAAATAACAAGAAAATAAAATGCAAAAATAAAAATTAACACAATATGACAATAAAATGCAAAAATAGAAATAAAAATAACAAGAAAATAAAATGCAAAAATAGAAATGAAAACAATAAGACAATAAAATGCCAAATAGAAATAAAAATAGTAAGAAAATAAAATGTACAAATAGAAATTAAATCAATAAGACAACAAAATGCAAAAAATTTGAAATAAAAATAATAAGAAAATAAAATGCAAAAATAAACAAAAACAGTAAGACAATAAAATAAAACAATAAAAAAATAAAACAATAAAATGCAAGAATATAGAAATAAAAAACAAGAAAATAAAATGCAAGAATATAGAAATAAAAACAGTAAGACAATAAATGCAAAAATAGAAATAAAAATAGTAAGAAAATAAAATGTAAAAATAGAAATTAAAACAATAAGACAATAAAATGCAAAAATAGAAATAAGAATAACAAGAAAATAAAATGCAAAAATAGAAATTAACACATGACAATAAAATGCAAAAATAGAAATAAAAATAATAAGAAAATAAAATGCAAAAATAGAAATTAAAACAATAAGACAATAAAATGCAAAAATAGAAATAAAAATAACAAGAAAATAAAATGCAAAAATAGAAATTAAAACAATAAGACAATAAAATGCAAAAATAGAAATAAAAATAACAAGAAAATAAAATGCAAAAATAGAAATTAAAACAATAAGACAATAAAATGCAAAATAGAAATAAAAATAGTAAGAAAATAAAATGTAAAAATAGAAATTAAAACAATAAGACAACAAAATGCAAAAAAATGGAAATAAAAATAATAAGAAAATAAAATGCAAAAACAGAAATTAAAACAATAAGACAATAAAATGCAAAAATAAACAAAAACAGTAAGACAATTAAAAAAAAAAGAAATAAAACAATAAAATGCAAGAATATAGAAATAAAAACAGTAAGACAATAAAATGCCAGCATCTAGAAATGAAGCTGTGAATAAAGGCAGAATATTCCTGTCAAACCAGGACTGTCCTGATCGGGGTTCAAACCAGCACACTTTGGGCCTTCATCGTTACGAGCCGATGAGATGAGTGCTTCATTGATGCCAAAGTTTAGTCCTAACCAAAACACTGAAGGATGGACTGATTTTTAGGTGCTTTCATTATGAATGACCTGCGTGTGGTGATTCTCTCGGGTTAATTAGGGCTGAACATTCACAGTAGTGTCATTTTAATGCATGTCATAGCGTGTCATTACATTATTTTCACAAGTATAAGAGCATTAGGAGATGTTTAATAGCTTCTCTGATTTAAACTTTAGCAGCAAAAACGTTTATAGAGTTTGATTCGTTTCTGTGAATCAGTTCAATCTGTCTGTTTGAATGAATCAGTTCAAAAGTCTCAATGTGGCATTTTTTGTTTACTTGAATGCTTTATAAACATATAATACTGTTCAGAAGTTTTGGGTCAGTAAGATTTTTTAATGTTTGTGAGTCTCTTCTGCTCACCAAGGCTGCATTTATTTGATGAAAATACAGTAAGATTGTGAAATATTATTAAAATTTAAAATAGCTGGTTTCTATGTGAATATATGTTAAAATGTAATTTATTTATTTGATTTCAGCATCATTACTCCAGTCTTCAGTGTCACATGATCCTTCAGAAATCATTCTAATATGCTGATTTCTTATTATATGCTATAATAAGAGTAATTTAATATTTTTGTGGAAACTGAATATTAAAAATAATTTCTTGTGTGTACCTTGATCCATTTTAACTAAATATTTAGTTTTTTTACTACTTAATAAGGTGATAAATTAAATAAATTAAAACAATAAGACAATGAAAAGGAATAAATAAATATGACAATAAATGCAAAAAATAAAAATAAGAATACAATTAAAACTAGAAATAAAATCAATAAGACAATTAAAACAATAAGACAATGAGATGCAATAAATAAAAAAATAAAAAAAATAAAAACAGTACGACAATAAAATGCATTAAATGCAAACAAATAAATAAATACAAATATGACAATAAAATGTATACTCTACCGTTCAAAAGTTTGGGGTCGGTAAATTTTTATTTATTATTATTTTATTTTTTTTTAAAGAAATTCAAACTTTTATTCAGCAAGAATGTGTTAAATTGATAAGTGATAGCAAAGATTTATATTGTTAGAAAAGGTTTATATTTTGAATAAATGCTGTTCTTTTTAAGAATCCTGAAAAAAGTATTGCAGTTTCCCAAAAAATATTTAGCAGCACAACTGTTGCCAACATTGACAGTACGACAATAAAATGCATTAAATGCAAACAAATAAATAAATACAAATATGACAATAAAATGTGAAAATAAAAATAAGACAAAAAATTCCAAAAATAGAAATAAAAACAATAAGGCAATAAATGCAAAATAAATAAATAATAATAATAAAAAATTATGAACTATAATTTTTCTTGTGTGTGGAAAACATGCCTTTAGATGTTATTAAACTAAATCTTTTACTACTTAGATTAAACAATTTAATTCTACTTGAGAACAACACTTTCTTATATATATATATATATATATATATATATATACACTACCAGTCAAAAGTTTTTGAACAGTAAGATTTTTAATGTTTTTTAAAGAATTCTCTTC